GCAAAGCTTAGGAAAAAGGCTCAAACAGTCAGTGTCCATTTTGATTTCTACAAACTGTGGTATGTTATCCTATGCACCCCTGTTTTATGTAGGCATTCTTTGTTTACTTGCATGCTGATGCTGCTTGCACTGTATACTTCCTACTTCTCTATGTCCTGTTGGCGTCTAGTAGCAGCAGCACAGAACTTAGTTCTCTGCTCCAAAAATGAATGCCATAGCTACACTATCAGCTAAATCAGCACGGCTGCGAGGGATGCAGTGGTGTCGATTTAGCGGGTCTGGTGTAGACATGCCTCTCCGAGAGGCAGAAGCTGTGTTGGCGGAAGAGCGGCTCCCGTCGACATAGTGCGATGTAGACACCGCTGTAAGTTGACCTAAGTTACATCAACTTCAGTTATGTAACTTATGTACCTGAACTAATGTAACTTAGATCAACTTACAGCATTAGTGTAGACCAGCCCAAAGTGAGGGAGTGCTTCACGTCACTTTGAAGCAAACAAGGACTGGCACCAATGTATTTTTGGACAACCTTCCTCCAGTCCTTTGACTGAAAGGATGGGCTGAAGTGAGGTATTTAAAGCAGGTGATGATGGAAGAGAAAACAGGTTTTCCGGGAGGAAGTCCCCCCCACCTTTGCTGTTTTGTTCTTAAAACAACCCAAAATACACTTACCAGACAACACCAAGGTACATCCCCCTCTACACTCCTGCCCACATAAGCAGAGGACCAGGAATCACACTTTGGTATATCATAGGGCAGTGCCCAGTAGAGCAGCCCAAACTGTCATTTTTGGTCAGTCAAATGTAATAATTCGATGCTTGAAGAGATGTTCTAGTACTATGGTGTTTCATGCATAATAAATGCGAAAAAAAATAGTGTATTTTCTAAGACAAATGCACTAAGATCCTGGGTTGGATCCAACCTGAGTTAAAACTGCACTTGTCAGGATCATGAATTATCTTGCACGGGTTTTAGTTTGGGTTCAGCTGACTGTTTCTATCATGCTGGACCCAAGTTACTTTTAATATAATGGACTTTGACTGCTATTTCAGCAATCAACTGACTTTGCTGGTGTAACTGGAAAGAAGATAGAAATCAATTCGTTCTGATGGACAATTGTGTGTCACTGATGTGGGATTAACATTCAAGGACTGAAAGCTTATGGTACAATAATTATTTTCAAGTTACGTGATATGCTCTACCCATTTGTTTGTCCTGTGATCACCTCACACCACCACCACAACAGCTTTATTTTTTAGTTGTTTAAAAGAGCTCTTGATAGAGCTGTTTTATTGCTTGCAGTTCAGAATGCAGCAGCATTGCTCTCTGATGAGTTACCGATGAAATAGCAAAATTACTTTAAATTGGTACCGTTAGTTTTTAAAGCCATTAACAGAATTAGGTCTAGCTACGTTAGCATTTGCTCTATGAGACTTTGAAGAGTATTTCTGAACTGACTGCATGAATTCAGTTTCTCCCATTGGCTATGAAGGGTACTACACTGTGGAAGTTGTTCTGCACCTTGAAATTCCCTTAATTCCTGCCCATTTAAAAAAAATTAAAACACATTTGAGAAAAATAGCTTTAAGAATGACCATTCTTGGCCCTATTTCCTTCAATTTCAATCCAACTAAACCTCAATTAAGTAACCTGTTTTCATTAGGATGTATGTTAACAGGGGAATATATTTATTTATGTCTGTTTCCATTATGTGGTACAGCATCTCTCCACCACTTTTCCCAAGGCCTTTTTTTGGGTGGGAATAGATGTGACACAAAAGGTGAGTACTACATAAATGAAATGATACACAAAGTAGGAATATAAGGAAAATCTTAAAGTTAATAGTTATAAACAGGCTTTACCATGCCTTATCATGACCCTCATAATAAGTATCCTGCCCCCAGCAGCAGCAAATATTTGATGATTCAGAAAAAAGGAAAACAAAGCTGTAATACATCTAGTCAAATGCATAATTCTGCATGCATGTGAAGGTGAGAATTCCCTTCTGACACCTGGGATGATTAGTTTATACCCTGAAGCATGAAACCTGAAAAACTGTAGTTATGCATGCTAAGAGAAGTAAATGATCATAAGACTACTCCACCTCTTAAAAATACAGCTATGATATTTATCCAACCTCCTGAAGCAGAGATTTCCCCAGACTGGGTAGCCACTGTGGGCAGTACTATTTTTGTTTGTTTTAGATGTATTTAGCTATTAATTTAATGGCAAGTCCACTTATTCGCCTATTAAGTGACAGTTCTACTCTGAAAAATGACATTGTAGAGTTCCACGTTTATGGTGCCTTACTGTTCTCAGATTACATGTGCTCAGCTTACAAGTAGACATCTTGAAGTAAGGCAGAAAGTCATGAAATACTGCTTTCACCTGAGAGAGGAGGCAAGGGTCATGGGGAATGTACTGAAAAGATCAGAGTTCTTCCTGGAGAGATGCACGCAAATGTCAGTGACGTAGAACCCTCTGCCATCAGATCCCTCACTTCCAAAGTTGCACGATCAACTCTCTTTCTGGTCCTATTCTTCATTTACACGGAATCAACAGGAGAACTGATGAAACATCATGGGCTCAAACGTCAACAAGACACAAGTGACATCTATCCATTCATATGACTCCATTATTATCACATCACTATCCCAATGCTTGGCTGAGATCATCTTATGAATGAAGGATAGTTGGTTGAACTTAAACTCAAGCAAAACTGAGGTCATGTTGGTTGGCACAGGAAAACAATTTTGAGATGTTTGCAGCCATGGGGCATCCTCCTCTGGCTGAAAATGTACATCCACAACTGGTCACGTCCGTTTGCAGTTTAGGAGTGCTCCGGTACCCCTCACTTATGCTAAGCACTAATAGAGCCACATCCACAAGCAACATGTTCTACCATGTACAGCTAGCTAGAAGACTACTTCCCATCCTGGTGAATCAGGATCTTTCCTTGGTAATACACACCTTTGTCACCTCCCAAAGGGAGTACAGCGTTGAAGTTTACTTGGGCATGAAACAGTCAGTTCTCAGTAAACTACAACAAGTGCAGAACGAAGCAGCAGCAAGCCTCCTCAGCAAAACCAGGCTATAATAAAGACATCAAACCTGTTCTGGGCTCACTACATCATCTCCTCATAAAATATCACATCTAATTCAAAAGTTCAGGTCTTTTCTTCAAGGTACTCAAAGACATGGGACTCAGGATGTCTAAGAGATTGCCTAAAGTTTGAGGAGGAGAACTGTGGTTGAGAACTCCACACCTATGGCACTGTGGAACTTCCTACAGCAAGGATAAAGCTTGTGTGCAAGAGACAGAGCTTTCCCGGAAGCTGGTCCACGATAGTTGAATGAACCCCTATAGGATCAAAAAACTACCTCAAATCTCACTACTTACCATGTAAGTTCAAGGTATACTTCTTTGAGCTTGTCTTTGCAACGCAATGACAGCACCCCATACATTAAAAAAAGTCCTCATGCAGTTTTCTGCCAGAGAGAGGAACAAAAGAACTAGCCATGATAGATGCCAGCAATGTCATTTAATGCACTACTGGAAGCCATTTCAATAACACAGTGATGAGGACAATGTAAGAACTTGAACAGAATATTTTTACTCCTAACAGCCAGCCTCACAAACTTACTGTAGGTTTAAACTCAAGCTGGGTTTTGGGGGTTTTTTGCCCATCACCACCAGGAATGAAGGCCTGTAGGTCAAACTATGTTATACCTTTGCAGCGCCATTAAATGCTATAGGATTATCACAGGGACAAAGCAAAATGCAGAACAATGGCAGCCTAATACCTGAAACTTGGTTAATATTTCTGTTACATTATGATGTATGGGAAGGAAAGAACCCATTTCACTCTTCCATAGCGTTTGACAACTAAGCAATGAATAATTGTTTTCACTAAAGAAAGCAGTACAATTCTGAATATACGCTAGATTTGCTGAGTAAGAAGAATCTGCTTTTATACAGTCCTTTTGAAAGTAAAAGCCAAACGTTAAGTATCTGTGAGCAATTGCTTACAAGAAAAATCCCAACTTGAGGCTGATTCTGCAACAGGATCTGCATGCATAGACCTCAGACCAGCACAGCCCAAAGCTCTGTGTGGTCACAAGAATCTATTAGTGTGATCCCAATTGCCGAATTTAGACCATATGGTTTAGTTTATTTTTAGAATGCATTTTTGAATACTTTAGCAGGTGCATATGTAATAATGACAGGATCAAACCTGGGACCTCTGAAGTTTAGTGTATGAGTTTCTACTGAGGGAGCTAAAACCACTTGGCTTTTAGCTAAGGCCTTAGCAGACTCATTAATCTCTAAGTCAGTCGTTCTCAACCCATGGCCAACTTGCAGCCCAATTAGCACATTGCTGCAGCCCATGCAACATTCTCAGGCATAAAACAGAAAGAGCTGCATAGGCGGCCCACCATGGTAAATAGGTTGAGAACCAATACTTTAGGTGGTCTAAGTGCCACACGAGGGGGACAGAGCATCACACCTAGCAGTCATGTGTCACACACGGGGAAAGAGTATTTTATCTGGTATACCGACAAGACATCCTGCAGTAAGAATGGACTGATATTAGAATCAGCTGATCAAGCAGAAAAAAGGGGCATTTCTATAGTGCTCACTCCTTACAAGGTTCTTTGTTACAGGCTACTATTCTGGTTGTGTCTTATATCCATGCTCCACCTTTAACACAGCCCAATTTTAAACACTTCACCTCTCCATCCCAAGAAGAGCCTTTTTGACAGTGGACTGTATCAATACTCACCCTTTGAAACACAAGCATGCCAGTGGCAGTTAATTCCCTTGCAGGCAGGTACATGCATATCCCCATACAGGTACATTATCCTCCATTTTGCCTGAATCCATTCACAGCCACCCAGGATCTAGTACCCCACTCGCTCTTGGGGTACTCATACAGGGCAAACCATACACCCACCCCTTGCATTTGTGTTTCACACTGGCCAATGTTGCTCTCACTTACCATGGTGATTTCGGAGGCGTTTCAGGTGATTTGGTTCTTAGGTATGGCTGTCTCACTCAGTTCATGTCATGGTCAGAGGCAGTTTTATCAGGTCTTCCCCATCCATTCAACTAAAAATAACCTACCCCCTAGTACTCCCTAAAAATAACACTAAGACCCACACTTCCTCTCTTGTCCCACACACAGCCTCAGCAACCCATCAGCCCGAGAGAGCCAGTTACAGAATCATTAAAAGTTCTCCCCTCCACAGGAGTACAGCAATTATTAAATTAAAAGAGGGAGACACCTAAAAGCCTGGTCTTCTTTTTTCTTTGGGAGAGGAGAACAAGTCAGAGGCCAATGCCCTTGCCTTGGGGTAGGGACCTGCCTATTGTTGTTGGTGCAGGGGGAAGTCCTATGTCCCAAGGCCCACCCTGAGGTTGTTTTTTTTCTGTAGAGAGGGGGGCAGTCAGTGATGTAAGGAGACCTGTGCCCTTACTAGGGTTGTGCGTGTGTGTGGGGAAGGAATACAGTTCTTATAGCCCTTTCTGTGGTTGAAGGACCCTGTCAAGGAAGGGGGGGGTGTGCAATAAAGAAGGTGGGAGTGTGTTCCTCCTCCTGGGGGGAAAGGCCAGTGTCCCTCCCTGGATGAGAGATCTGTAACCTGGAGGGAGAGGCCTGTTCCCCGCAGTGGCAGGGAGATCTGTATTGGGGGAGGCCTATTCCCCCCCCCAGTAGAGACTGTATCGGAAGAGGGAAAGGCCTCGGTCCCTTCCTGGCGGGGGAGAGGAGCTGTATCAGGGGGCGGGGGCTGTATCCTGGGGGGAGAGCCTGTGTCCCTTCCTGGCGGGGGCTGTATCCGGGGCCGGGGAGGGAAAGGCTCGTGTCCCTCCCTGGCGGGGGGAGGGGCTGTTCCCCTCAGTGGCGGTTGTGGGCTGTAAGGGGAGAAGGCCCGTGTCCCTCCCTGACTGAAGGGTTTGTAACCTGCGAGAGAGGCCTGGCCCCTTGAGTTGCGGCTGGGGGGCTGTAGCGGGGTTGGGGAGGCCTGTGTCCCTCCCTGGCCGGGGTTGGGGAGGCCTGTGTCCCTCCCTGGCCGGGGTTAGGGGCTGTATCCCGGTGCCGGTGGCCCTCGCCTCTCTGCCCGACCGATGCGCGCTGCTGTCCCCGCACGAAGCCCCCCTCGCTGCCCCTGGCCCCGCAGTCACCGCCGCTCCCGCACCAGGCGCATCCTTCCTCCTCGCTTCCTCTCCGCCTCTGGGGGCACGGCAGCCTCCGCCCCTCCCCGCCGGAAGCGACCTATGGACTCACAACGAGGCTGGCCGGGTTGCCGGCGGCCTGACCAATCCGAAATCGACAGGGGCGGAAGCGGTACCGCCGGTCGGGGCGTAACGCAGTGCGCACGAGTGCGGGCGGTGTGCCTCGGCCGCCATGTTGGTAAAGGACAGTGAGGCGATTACCTGGCACTGTGCATGGGCGGGCTGCGTGGGAGGCTAGTTCCCCGAGCTGCGCGTGACGCGAGCTCAGTCCCGCCTTTCCCATCACCCATCCCTCCCCCCCTTCCTTTGCAGGGCTAAAGGGGGCTGCCACCTCACCTTTGCTTGGGGTGGTCACTTCCCATCCCCAAGTGAAGGGGCAGCCCCTCCCTCCCCCCCCCCCGAGTTGGGTGCTTCCATAGGGGCTCTTCTGCTGGCTACAGCTGGCTAGAGTGACCTGTACCCAAATATTTCACTGTGCAGAATTAGTCAGTGGAACTCACTGCCACAAGATAAAATTGAGGCCAAGAGCTTAGCAGGACTCCAGGAAGGGCTGTATACTTACACTGATAATGAGACCATCCACAGTAACATGAGAGGATTTAACAAAACAGAAAGGATATAAACCCTCCTGCTGCAGGGCATGACTGATGGAGCTCCCCTTGTCACAATTCAGAGCAACTGCACCTGTATTCCCCCTTTGTGGCCTAGCAAGGGAACCCACTCTGGACTCCTGGCTCCTCTGCTGTCACTTCTCTAAGGGGGAGAGCCATGTTTCTCTCTCTCCGGAACAGGTTTTTTCCAGGCTGCACAGTTCCCTGTCTACACGATTACTCCCAGCAAGCCAGGGGGCCTAAGCAGGCCAGCGTCCACATTTTTCTGGCTCTCTTCATAATTGACCACAGTTACAAATTATCACACAGCTCTCTCTAAGTAAGCACATTTATTCTTAATGTGAAAGCACTACAGAGAAAACATTAAAAATAATAAGAGAACCTACACACATGCTAATAAGTTTACCAGAGACCACTCCAACTCCAGCAGGGTCTCTGGTAGGAGTCAGTCCTCCAGGCTCATACAAGCTCATAATACCTTCAGTTCAGGACAAGCACATCCACGCCCAGGTTAGTTTTTCCATCTTACAGACCTGAGCCTTTGATCTTCAGATTCCAGGAACAGGTAATCAGAAGACAACAGTCTGTTCTTTAGGGCATAGCTTCAAATGGCTGGATTTTTGCATATCTGGGGTGAGGAGAACTGTGGAATTTCCATTCACCTCCTCCTAGCTAGTTCCCAGGAAATCCAACTTGCACATATTTGTCTAAAAAATTATTCTTGTCTGCCGTATTGTTCAATATAGGACCATCCTGGCCCACAATAATATGTAACTTTTACATTTACTATAATGAACTCCAAAGATAATAAGAAAAGGAGTACTTGTGGCACCTTAGAGACTAACCAATTTATTTGAGCATAAGCTTTCGTGAGCTACAGCTTATGCTCAAATAAATTGGTTAGTCTCTAAGGTGCCACAAGTACTCCTTTTCTTTTTGCGAATATAGACTAACACGGCTGCTACTCTGAAAGATAATAAGGTTTTTCAAAGATATTGCAGGAAATTGCTACCGCTGTCACACCACTTATGGCTGGTTATTCCACAATTGTCTACTATGGGTTTTCTTGCACGTTCCTCTGAATCATCTGGTTTTGGCCACTGGTCAGCCAGAGTACTGGATTACCTAGATCACTGTCTTGATGCAGTATGGCATTTCCTGTGGCTACTACTATGAGTTCAGTTTGCAGAATTTGGCCAGTTTTTGTAACTTATGCCTGGGCCACCACATGTTTAAGCCATGTTACCAGGAAGTGCATCTCAAACTGGTTCAAAAACATGATTGAGTCCATGGTGTGGAAGGAGTCTTTGGGCCTTTAAGTGGCAGCAGAAAAAGCACAGAAACCAGATTTTGTCACAATATTCAACTATGGTACAACAAAGAGACTTGCCCCAACTGCAGCCATGCTCTGATTAAGGCATGGCTGAGCTGCTTGTAAAAGAAATCCTTTAGCAGTATTCCTCATTTGCCAAAGAATTAATCTGTGTATTGCATGGCAGAATATTAGGATCCATTAAAGGTGAGGCTGAACTGAGCTGTGAACCACGTTTACAAGAGTATTTAATGGTCTGAATCGCCTCAAGCTGCCATTTATTTCAATGATCATTAAATCAAGATATTATAGCAGCATTTTCAGAAGATAGGTTACCATGGTGACCATTGAAGGACTAATCTTATTATCACAGTTTGTTATTCCAATGAGTTGTTTGTTTACAAATGCTCCAGGTTGTACATTTCAGTCCACAGAAAACACTTCTTCCCAGTACAAATCTGTTTCAGCACTCAGCTTCCAATTGCATGTCAGTCTGGGGAGCCATGGAAACCCCATTATTTTGGCATTGGGTTTGCCAAGGGTTTTGATTTTAGTGCCATGAAACAAGATAAAATTCAGCCCACTTGCACAGAATGTAAATGATTCAGTGTGTTAAAAGCAGAAAGAAGGTCAGGGAGACCCAGCAGATGAGACCAACACCAGCTGGTCATTAAAAATGACCTGGAAAGGAGAAAAAAAGAATGTATCCATTTTTATGGTGCATGAAGAAAGCCTGAAAGGTTTGTGGATTTTCTTCTTTTTTTCCCTTCAACAACACCAATTTCAAGTCAGATCTTCCCTAATTTTGCTGGAGAGGCTCAGAGAAGTAGACCAAGAGCTCTCTCAGCCCTCAATCGAAGAAGTGAGGTATTGACTCTTTAGAGAGAGATTTTCTCCTTAGTGTTCCTTAGTTATTTGTGCTAAATGGGCATGAACAAAAACAATTGTGAAAGTCTGAATAAAAATCACTTCCCCTTCATTCTTCTTCCTTGGGATCTGTGATGTCATTTCAACAGTCATCCATAGAGTCGTGTAGGGTTAAAATACACTCCAGTTTCCCCTGTAAAATACAAATTTAGAAAAAAAATCTTTTCAGTCCTTCATACATCATGAAGTTAAAAAACAAGTGCAGAACCCCCTTTTTTTGCTTTGCCTTTTACCTTTGACGTCCAAACATTTGGGACAGCAGCATTCTTCTCTGAGGCAAAGGGCAGGGATGGTAAGAATAGGTTTTACTCAGTGATGAGCTGCCAAAAGCTGAAGAACCGGTTCCTTCACTCGCTCTGGGCCTTCAGCAGCACTTCGGTGGTAGGTCCTTCAGTCGCTCCAGGTCTTCAGTGGAACTGAAGGACCCGCTGCCGAAGTGCTGCCGAAGACCCGGAGCGCTACCGGGTAAGTAAAAATTAAAAAGGGATTCTCAGGGGAGCCTCCCCAGCCGAGAGCTCAGGCGGGCCGGACAGGACGGTCATGCGGGTTGGATGTGGCTCACAGGTCAGAGTCTGCCCACCCCTTTAACAACCGGTTCTAAACCAGCTTCAAAATTTAACAACCGGTTCGCGGAAACCGGTGCGAACCAGCTCCAGCTCAGCACTGATTTTACTGTCACAAAATGTCTGCCCCTCGTTGCCATATGCATTATTAAGGGCCAGATAAATGACCTACTGAAGATAACTGACTTATTTTAGTTTTGCCCAGGCCCATACATTGTCTACACTGTAAATATGTTAGTGATAACTAGGACTGTAGCAACTGAGGCTAGTCAACCATGTCTGCTCACCCCTCCAACAGAACCAAGGGACCTGCTCAGGGCCAAGGTCATGACTCATGGCAGCTGCCACATGCAGAAGAGCTACACCAGCTTCCCCCAGCCAAGCCCCCAGCTCCACTAGAAAGCTGAAGTAGCAACAAGGCATCTGAGGGGAGGAGGTCAACAAGAACATACCCATTGAGCCTGATGATCTAGCCAGCTTTCTATCCACCTTATAGTGCATTCATCCAGTCCATACTTCTTTAACTTGCTGGCAAGAATACTGTGGAAGACCGTATCAAAAGCTTTGCTAAGTCAAGGAATAACACGTCCACTGCTTTTCCCTTCATCCACAGAGCCAGTTATCTTGTCATAGAAGGCAATTAGGTTAGTCAGGCATGACTTGCCCTTGGTGAATCCATGCTGACTGTTCCTGATCACTTTCCTCTCCTCTAAGTGCTTCAGAATTGATTCCTTGAGGACCTGCTCCATGATTTTTCCAGGGACTGAGGTGAGGCTGACTGGCCTGTAGTTCCCCGGATCCTCCTTCTTCCCTTTTTTAAAGATGGGCACTATATTAGCTTTTTTCCAGTCGTCCAGGACCTCCCCCGATCACTATGAGTTTTCAAAGATAACGGCCAATGGCTTTGCAATCACATCCGCCAACTCCTTTAGCACTCTCGGATGCATCCAGCCCCATGGATTGTGCTCGTCCAGCTTTTCTAAATAGTCCTTAACCACTTCTTTCTCCACAGAGAGCTGGTCACCTCCTCCCCATGCTGTGCTGCCCAGTGCAGTAGTCTGGGAGCTGACCTTGTTTGTGAAGACAGAGGCAAAAAAAGCATTGAGTATATTAGCTTTTCCCGCATCCTCTGTCACTAGATTGCCTCCCTCATTCAGTAAGGGCCCCACACTTTCCTTGACCTTCTTCCTGTTGCTAACATACCTGAAGAAACCCTTCTTGTTACTCTTAGCATCGCTTGCTAGCTGCAACTCCAAGTGTGATTTAGCCTTCCTGATTTCACTCCTGCATGCCCGAGCAATATTTTTATACTCCTTCCTGATGGTTTGTCCGAACTTCCATTTCTTGTAAGCTTCTTTTTTGTGTTTAAAATCAGCAAAGATTTCACTGTTAAGCCAAGCTGGTCACCTGCCATATTTGCTATTCTTTCTACACATCGGTATGGTTTGTTCCTGAACTGTGGGGAATCGCACATTTCATTGCTTCTGTAGGTGATGCTTCTTGTTGTGCACTGCAGGAGCTGCTTGCATCCCTCGTTCTCCCACACGTTTCCTGTGCCACCCTCCCAGCCCC